TTAATTTAGCTTCAGCAAGAAGCAAACCACACAGAACGAAAGCCCAGAGATCCTGTATCTGGTCTCTCTGCTGCAGAGCAACTTGCCTGGATGCAAATCCATTCCAGCATACATGCATGCATCCACGTGAGCACATCTTTCAGCACTCACCGATAGCCTCGCCTTCATCAGGCTTAACAGCACCCACAGAAGTCCACCTAAGTCTACTGAGTAGCACTGCATTTCTGGCACTAAGCTGTCAGCAGGACATGGGAGCGATCTTGTGTTTGACATCCACTGCATCTGTCCATGTACTAACCGCCCAACATCACTATAAATTGAGAGAAGATTAATAGGGAGAGCTGGATAACCTTAGTCTTGAAAGCCTTGTTATCCCTCCCTGAACTCCTAGCTTCTTACTCTTTATTTCAACATGAACGTATTCTTCAGGTGCAATTTCTCCAAAAAACACCAAAGCGTATCATCCCTGACAGTCTTTTCAAAGTAAGACAAATGGACTAGCAAGCATTTCACCTTACAGTCAAGCCACCTTTGTGTCTGTGAATAATTATCTTCCCAAATGCTAGTTGCCAAGTAGCACTGCTGTATTTGATCAGTACCATTTTAATTTACGTTGATGAAACCATTGTAAAGAATCCAGACAGAATTAAAACAGATTAAGACAGGTTGTGGGACTGATCTTCTCCAGCCTCCTTCTCATCTTTCCTCTGTTAGTACTTATTTTGTAAGGCACAACAAAGTCGGCCTGGGTCTATGTTTACAAGAATAAGTTTTCGTTTGCCTGCGCACTTTTCAACATTGTGGCACCTCAATTCTACTAAGACCGGTGGACATATTTCAAGACAATCAGGGAAGGCAGTAATTCACGTCACCTTTGTACTGGTTAGTTACTAAGATTTTACCTTTCTGCTATCTGTGATCCCAGCGAAGATATACTACAGGTTTTTCTTTCATTTACTTATTTTCCAAAGGTAGACAGAGGTGAGAAGTTTCATCAACTCCGTCGATATACAGAAGCCAGAAGAATAGACAGGACATCCACCTGTAGACAGAGTTTATTTCATTTTCAGAAGTGACTCAAAAAGCCCATAGAGCAATGTCATACTGCTTCAAGTCTGGGACTACTAACACCACAAGATTTGCTTGGAACACAGTGTAAAATTTTTAAGCACAGATTCATTTCTGAATAAAAGCTCACCACTCTCTCTGAATACCCCTTATTTCTGCATGCTTCACAATAGTACAGACTTATACTAGCATGCACGCTGATTGTGTCTCAGCACATTGGAATGAGCAAGGCTCCCCTGTAACTGCCATTTTATTATAAATCCAATAAATAATAATGCAACATGAAATTACATTTGCTCCTTATGCTGCCATGTCACATCCGAAGATCACATGGAATTATTTGTCTAAATGCAAACTGAAGAACCCACTCAGCAAGCTGCTCTCCAATTTGTGTCTGTGTGTTTATGTGCGTGTGTGTGTGTTCCTTCCTCTATGTTTCTAAGTAATATTCCCTAATATTTTCAGGAAAGCTAAAAATGAGCTGAGGCAAGGAAAAATCCTGTGTTGCCTAGGAAGCAAAACACCCTCACACGCTCAAGAGGTAAGCAACAGCAAATCTGCATCAACCCTCCTTAAATAAGAACAGCCACGCAATGGCAGGCATCAGTACTCAGACGGAAAGCTGCTCCCCACAGAAGTAATGAGGGGAGATGAAAGAAAACAAATCAGCGTCCTTACATCCTGCATGCTTTATCATGCAGACATCTCTAAATCACTCCTACAATGAGGAGCACAGATTCAGACAAAACTATGGCAGAAAAACATTTCTAATTTTTCCTATATCAAGAAAAAAACATGGTTTAATATCAGCTTCTGGCAGTACTAACGTAAGCCAGTACCACTTACATCCAGCACATAAAGTGGCTAAGCTGGTCTGACACTTAAGGAGCACTTCTCAACAACAGGGAGAAACTGACCAGCTGGAGGAATATCCCAAACACCGGAGCCAACTTCTCACTTCCCAAGCTACCTTCAGATGTAAATCACTAGCCTGTGGTTGATCTGACACCAAGTTCCAACCACTCCCAGCAGACACCTATATCTGCAGGCAAGTTTTCCTGATGTAAGGCCCCCTCTTCAGAGGTGCAGCAATTAGCCATTTTAGCGTGCAATTTTAACAGCTGTAATAGCAAAGCTAACCAAAGCAGCAATAACATGAGAAACAAAAGAAAAAGAATGAAAGAAAGAAAAAGTCTGCAATATTCAGAAGATAATTAAAAGACTGTTATTTTGGTTTTGTTGTACTTTTTTTTTTCCCCCAGAGAAGTGAAAGTTAATTTCTTGGGGATGAAAATGGAAAGAAGATAACAAAGGCTGAAGGCAAAGCAGCTGCTTCCCCACATTAGTTCTTGGCTGGGAAGAGGCAGCAGGATAGGCTGCTTGGAGGACAAACAGTGAAAGACACATGGCCATAGCAAATGTGGCACACAGTGAGAATTGCACTTCCACTCAAGCCCTGGGGCTGCCTCATTGGCAGAAAGGAGATTGCCAAAGGGCCTTCTCAGGAAGGATAACGAGAGAAGAGCTTGGCCAGTTGGAGGATCACTAGATGGAACCATCTGAACCTTCAAGAAAAAGTCACAACGAGGAAGGGATAGAAGGCTTCATTTGCTACCTCCTTTATATTGCAACTCAGACTACTGGTTCTCCTTCCCAGTTTCACAGAAGTCATCACACATGATTGGCATGGCAAGGCAGTCTGTTTCTGGCAGCCATCTCTTTGGGCTCAAACAGCTTAAGGCCTGAACTTGCAAGAAGCACCTGACCATCCTCTAATCCAATGAATGCAGCAGGAGGCTCCTCAGTGGAGCAGAAGACACAAACACAGGGTTTAGCTTTCTAAACACATGTACAATTGCACAGCTGCAAGTACAGAACCGCCCTTCTTCAAAATACAGACATCTAATTTCCTCACACCGTGGCAAAGCTCTTCTGACATGTTCACCTGTCGTACATCATGAACTCTGACTGAAAATTAGTCCTGCAAACTAAACACTGAGCAGAACGCAAGGGATCTGCATTACAGATAAAGGAGATAAGACATGCTTGGGAAGGAAAAGTCTAAACAGTTGGCTAAACTACTTGATTTCAGTAGCTGTCTCCAATACCCTTATTATTTAATCCCATTGATGTTTGCATAGTAATTGCTAAGGAGTTTCCCGCTTTAATCTGCCTCAAGTGAATAAACTGGGTGATAAATCTTGAAAAAATTAAGGTGGGCCTCCTCTCACAATTTTATCTTTCCTTTCAGCTTCAACGCTATTTTGTTTAGATCCTTGCCCTTTTCTCAGATAACTCTATTACATCAAATTGATTATAGTCGCCGCTATAACCTCTGTGTAGCCCTAACAGTAGGCCTCTCCAATAAATCTCTTCTGCTTCCTTCCTACCAGGTTCCGTAACATCAACACCATATTTAGGAGATGCTCTCAAGCAAGACTCAGTCTGTGAGTGAAATCACTTGGCCCATACCATTCCCACTCCCATTCTGGTGGAGTGGAGGAGCCACATTATCACTCTCAGCCTAAGGCCATACAAATAGTTGCTAGAAGAAAAGGCCCTGACCCAAAAGAGCAATGATCATCTTTCAAAAACTTCCATGTCTTTAATAACACTTTAAGATAAAATATGGCAGTTTTCTGTTGCCTAGGAAGTAAGGAAAAGGGAAGGAGATTTTGTGAATGTAGCAGATATTTTAGAACAAACCAGATGTACAGAAAAGAGATCCTGATGGGTAATGTCTTACAGTATTTTACGTGACTATTTTAGAGGAGATTTATTTAAACAATTACAGGGCTAGATCAGTTGTCATCAGAGGAGTTATCTAAAACCAGCACTGCAATTCAAAGCCTTAGCAAGGGAAGCAAGGGCTTTAAGTCCTTCAGTCTTCAAATCAGACTAAGTGCAAAAAGATGAAGAACAGAAGTAATTGCCATGTGTCATCATTTGTTTCCAGCCTTAGTGTACAACGTAAAATTTATTTGAAATATTTGAACTAGCATTATCTCTTAACTTACCTCTTGTTTATAGCAGTCTCAGATATTCTTTTTTTTCTTCTAAGTGTGGTGTGATAGAGTTGAGCTTGAGTGAAAATAGCAGGCTTAAGATTATAAACACAAGCGGTTTTACGTACAACAAGCATATAACTTTTCTCAGGAAATAATATATTGTGTACACCCCTCTGCACCACTGAACAGATAAATCAGTAGTGCTATCCCTAAACCTTAAAATGAAACAGATAAATCAATTTAATAATAAGAGTTTGCCTGGGGCATTAATATCTGAGATTAAAAGACTTCATTTCTGAGTGTGGAATTGGAAGCACAAGTCTGCAAGACTCTGACTTGGTTTTACTCCTGACTAACTTGAATCAATTGCTGCAGTGACTAACCCATGCTGCTCACACTGCGTGTGGAACAGCAAGTGCCTTCTGGCTCACTGCAGTAAGTGGGAAAACAAGAGCAGCCTGCACAGTAAGGGAGTCCATCAAATTCCTGGGGGCTTAAATAGAAGGAATACCTGCTGTAATCAAGCTGGATGAGATGAAAAGCAAGGATCTGAGAACCAACCAGTCTGTGCTCCCTTCCCTACATGAATGCCAAATTCCCAGGAGGAGCTTGAAACACAACAATTTCTCAAATCCTCACTTACAAAGGAGAAATCCAGACCATCTGCAGCAACCTGCATTCTGCAGGCGTAATTCTGCCTCAGAAGACAAACATAGGGATGCCAGTCAAGCCACAAACCAGCAAAGACAGACAGGACACATCTCCCAAACATGGCTGAGACATGAAGGCAGGCTTATTCACACACCACACAGAGCATTTGGGTACTTTATACCAGCTTGCTTTCAATATCAAACGTGCCTTTCACCACCTTGTTATTCCTTGTTAAATCTGCTCTATTATGCTCTGATGGAGGAAGATGCTCACCTGTTTTAGTACTTTCTGTAGCTCCAGCTGTACTGCACGTGTATTTACAGAGCCATCCAAGGAATGAGAAATCATTTGCTTGGGGGAGAATGTACTCCCACCTATTGGTGAATACCATGCAGATCAGTCACGTGCCATTCCTGTTAACTTAATTCCTAGCCTTGCTTCCAGTCTGTAAAACAGAAGAAAGTAAATGATGAAGTCTTTTATTGAAGAACCATTGACTTGGGAGACTTCTCAGGTTAAGTTTATTAGTGGCACTGGGTTTTTGTTCTGTCTCTTCGCAAACAAAACAGTCAACGGGTTTCAGGGTTTGACTTGGTACCAACTACACACTAGAAAAGCATTCTTTGGTTTTTGAAATATTTTTACAGATCACACTAGAATCTCAATATTCTCATCTACTGCCTCATGGCAACACCTGGTCCTTTGAATCACTCAGATCCTCACCATCTCCAATCAAGTGATTCCACTAACACTCTGCAGCTTACCAACAATTACTTAGTTGGACAAAGCCTCATGCTAACGCAGCTACAGAGTTTTCAGCATAGGGCGTGTTGGCATCTGAGCAACTTAAAATGCAAGCAGAACAATCCAAGGTTGTCTGAGAGAAAGACCATGCAGATCTAAGCATCTAAGGACGGTAAGCATCTGAAGGATCAAAGCACCTAGGGTCTGTAGCATTTAAGGATGCTAAGAATCTAAGTCAGTCATAAGTACCAGGAAAAAACAGGCTAGGAAAGAATCGTTTTTCCTTTGTTTTAATATACTTTATTAATCAGAAGCAGTCTAGCAGGGAAACACTTTTGGAAAGCCCGTCAGTCAGAAAAGCTTACTGTGCCTAGTAAACTAAAAAGACTTCCATAAAAGAGCAGCTGTAGTTCCTCCAACAAGAACTTCTCCCCAGCTTCCTCCACTCTCTCACTCCAGGCAAGCCTAAAACGTTCTTATCTGAACTCTGGAAGTGAACCTGGATCTCTGTGCTCACAATTGTTACAATAAACCCCAAGCAGCCTATGGCTAACTTAACTCCCAAACCCACTAGGCGCACTGAAGCCAGTAGGGATTAAATCGGATCCTATCACACTGCATTTCACTTACCCGAGTGCTACATTCAGACGCCCACAGAAGGGAGAGTTAGAAACTCACTTTTAAGGTATTTTAAATATTTATAGACCGCAGCATCATGATGACAACAAAACCTTCTGCACTTTCAGGACAATCAACAATTCATTCCCATTGTTCAGACCTTCAGCTCTATCAGGAGTTTCCCATTGCTAACAGCAGATGGCTAAGTAATTTAATGGCTTTTAAACATTATGAACAAACTGTTGAAGCAAGCCTATCCAACCCAGGAAGGAATCCATGCATGCAACTCTTTGACTTTTTTCTCCAAAAAAGACATAACCGTCTCCTTACACATCACTTCTGGCTTCAAAGCTAAATCTGCCTAGTGGAATTAGAGTAAAAGTGAGCAGAACACAGAAAAGGCATCTGCTGCAAGAAATTCAAGACTCTAGAGCTTTACAGCTTCTCTTGATTCTTCAGCATGCATTTATCAACACCGTGGCCTCTCTGAAGTTTTGAAAAGTTGGAGGATATCTTTTAAGAGAATCAGAGAAGGAAAACTAACTCATACTATCTTTGCACTGCTGTTGCAAATATTTCTTGTTAATGTGATTTCTGCTAATGATGACCACAGTATAAATATATTTGTAGACATGGGTGTAGGCCGATTTGGTTTCTGTTAGGTTTTGAGGCAACGGTGCTGTTGTCACTGTTCTATTTCATTCTATTCTTTTTGAGTTAGACTTCTAAAGGGGTCTCTGAGTCAGCGCTGCTCACAGGTGGAAGTGACATCTTAGGTTTATTCAGCTGTTCAACAGCATTCAGGCCTGCAGCTCCCAGTAGCAAATTAACCCTTCAATCTTGTGTGAGAAGGGCAGCATGAAGGACGAACAAACAAGCCATTTATCTGTGTGCAAAACGCAATTGGCTAAAGATTAATCCTCATCAAGAGGAAAACTAGCATCGTCTTGTCTTACACCCATTATTAACATGAGGAAATTTCTGTTTGGGTATAAAAAGTAGTGGATTTCAACTGCAAACATGCTATATCAGTAACTGATGTAATTTCCTACCAACAGTATTAAGCAACTTCTATTTTTTGGAAGAGAAAAGATGCAGAATTCCAGTAAAGAACTGGCATGCATACCTCTAAAATACACTTCTCTAAAACGCTAGCTTCTGACCAGAGCATATAAAACTACTCCCTCCATTGTATTTCCATCCAGAGGAAGCCTCAAAGTAAAAGCAGTTCTGCAGCTAAATAAAGCATGTTGCACCATCTGCTGGATGCTTCTTAAGCCAAGTCCTGATGGTTTTATCAGAGAAAACCTTCACAACTCTTAACTCCCAGTTCTGACAGAGAGCAAAGTACCACAGCCGTCCACCCCAAAGGCCCAAATTAATATCTTACGTTTAAAATAACAGAAGGGAAGAAGGAGCGTTATGCTCTTATGTTTGTATAGCTCTGTTCCATTTGGGTTAGCAGTTCAATTCGGACCCAACCTTATTAGCTGACAGAAACTGCAGTACTTTGAATATCAGAAAATGTGCTTATCACCTGCATGTTCATTTTCTGCCTTTTCCATCCTCAAATGCTTTCTCAGCAAGTCTGAAAAGTCATGAATAAAATATAATTACTATATTCACAGGGCTTACATTTAAATTCAGGCTTTGGAGCAGCAAATATTAAAAGCTGATGCAATTAACAGGGAAAACAGAAACTCACATAAGAACTCCCCGAACTCCATTTCACTCATGGCATGTATTTCCCTGTACAGCTGTCTAGGCATCACGGAGTGATATATCGCAGTCTGTCAGAATTGCAAGTTTTGAGTCATAAAGGTTTTCTCTGATCCAAATGCATCAACCATTTTGAATTCCGTGCAAAATTTCTTTCCTGCCCCTAACCAGGTGGTCAGAGAAGCAAAAAAGTCAGTCTGTGCTCAATTGCCTTGCCGTGGATAACAGACATTTTAATCTAAATCACAATAGGCAACTCAGCAGAGCTCTGTATGCTGCTGGATAAATAAACAACTGAACAGAAGAGCACTAACTTATCCCTTGGACTGGTTATCAGTAACACACGTACCTGAGAGCTACATTTCTTTTGCTGTGGGGGAGAGCCCCCCCGTTGACCTTGCTAGACAGGCTCTGAATAGGAGCAAAGCCTGACAGTCCCAGGATGTTGTAGATATCAGAAAAGAACCCCTCTTCTACAGAATCATTAAGGTTGAAGAAGAGCACTAAGATCATTAGTCCGACCATCCATGCCTCAGTGCCACATCTCCTCAGTGCCTGAACACCTCCAGGGACAGTGTCTCCACCACTTCCCTGTGCACGCTATGCCAGTGTCTCACCGCTCCTTCTGAGAATAAATGTTTCCTAGTATCCAATCTGAACAGTTCCAGCCTGTAGTTTTATTCACCTGCAGCTCCAAAGCCTTGTTTTCTCCTCCTTATAAGAAGTTAAAGTGGCTAAAATCAAACATGAAACACCAGCCTATTTCAAAAGAATGGAGGGAATTCAAAGCTCAGGGGCAACTGCACTCTGCAATAGCTCTTATGCCCTAGCGGCAACTTGAGAATCTTTTCTTCCCTCTAGGCTGAGCAGTAAAAACTCAGCTTCAGCATATCTTGTCTTTTTAACGTAGCTGACCGAGTTCTGCTACCATTTGAGTTGCCCAATTGTCTTTCCCCTCTCATCTTTCAGTTGCACCAAGATCACGGCAGAGGAAAAAGGAGTTAAAGCAAGAAATTTTCTGGAAGAACTAAAATCCCAGCTCAGGCTGTACCTCATAGAGACAAGGCAAGCACTAGAACAACCCTGAAAATTCAAGTTCCTGTCATTTTCAAGTGCCCCCTCAAGAAACTCCATAGTAATGAAATTGTTCTTGGAGCTGCTGCAGGTTATTAAGAAACACCTCCATAAGCAGAATCAGAACAACCTCTGCTGACTGTTTTATCTCAGTGGAGAATTTGTTGTGTGCGGGTCTTAATTAGCTTCTCCGTAATTCAGTCCTGACACAGCAGCATGCGTGGAGAGGTCTCCAGAGGCTGGAAGACTATTGCTGTTGCATGCTTAAAACAGCTGCCACGGTTTACAAGACTGAGAGCACTCAAAGCATCTAGACAACCAACCAAAATAGTACAGCAAATCATCAGTAAGTGCAGACCCAACATTACTTACACGTGTACCATAATACATGGGTACAGCTTGACACTTTCACACTAAATATGACCCAAGTAGAAACCACAGCCAGTCAGGATAAACAAAAAACTAGTTTTGGCATATCTGAGCTGATAAAACATAGATTTGAACCGAAGTACATGTTCTACTGGCAGGCTAGGGAACTGCTCTCCATTCCTGCTAATAACTTCATGCCCTGAAACAGAAGTATTAGGCAGAGTAACTCATTAAAATAAATATCATTGTGAAACACAGGGTTCGGAAACCCCACTTGACTCTCAGCATGTAGCACTATTGCTGGAAGGCTAATTTGGAGTTAAGGATAATGGCTAAGTGTGTGTATCATTGACAACTCTACCACACATAAGTGCTTAACTAAACTGTCTACAATAGATGAGGATCAAACACTGCTCATCTACTTGGAAAAAGAAGATTATTATTTCCTTTCACATTTGTTCAGGGTGTTTGCATTCAATTTTCATGTGAATATCCAGGCCTTTCATTATTCCAACATTTACACATATGTATGTATATAAACCTCAGCGTGTTCAGGAAGTATTGAGAGTGTAAGAACTTATAACATTTAAAACTTATGCTTTGGTTACCTCAAACCCAGAGATGTAAACATGCTGTTGTCATATATCATCCACTGCTTTCATGGGGCACCTCCACTCACAAGCAGGCTGAAGATGATGATGTAAACAGCTGTATCACTACAGCAGCATAGCTGAGGCAATTCCACTTTCCACACACCAAATGGTAGCTAATTTTTGCCAAACAATAGGTGTTTGGATAAGATAGCTAATTCTGCCTTTGATGTAAAGCCATTTGTAATTGCTTACCCTCTAAAGAATGATAAAACAATCAGTGCAATTAA